CAGTATGTCCAGGTCTCCCTTGTAACCGTGAGGCCCAGCACCCCAGGTGCCTCGTGAAGACCAAGGATCATCTCCCTTGACCTTCTGGTGGTACTTTGCTTGAGGCAGCCAAGAACACTGCTATCCTTCTTAGCACTAAGGGTCTCCCCTGAGTTTGGAAGAACCCCATTTGGCCCTTCTTCCTTGCCAGACTGCCAGCACCCATCCCTTGGGGCAGTGAATGAGCTTTGCATGGATTCAAAGCAGGAACCACACAGAAACTCCTGTCCATAGAAGATCTGCTGCTCCCACACAGCCCCTCACTACTGGAGCCAACAGTCAGTGCCAGCAACAAGTAGCAGTGGGATAATTCTGAAGACAGGGAAACAGAAATGCAGAGAGGCAGTGAGGAACTGCCCACAGGAGCCATTCCCCAACCAGTGAATGAAAAAAATAAGGAAATGCTGGAGATTTGTTGTGGTTAAAGAAGTTGGGTTGGATGGGACCTTGGGATCTCACATAGTCCAACCTCCTGCTCAAAACAAAGCATACTTCAAAGTCAAAGCAAGGGGCTCAGGCCTCTGCCCAGGTGAATTTTGAAAATCTCCAAGGAAGATATTGCATGAGCAATCTGAGCTGTATTCAGGGTTGATTCATGCCCAGCTTGTTGCCTACCAGGAACCCCATTTCATTGCTGCAGAAGTGCCACACAGCCAGTCAGTTCCTCACCTGCAATACACAGGGCTGTTGTGCACCAGGAACCAGACTTTGCAATTGTGTTTGCTAAACTGGAAAAGTTCTTGTTGGGCCCATTGTCCCCTTAACATAAGGGAACAAAGCAACTCAACCTCTCAAGTAAGGCATCCTACCTGTAGCAGGCATTACTTTTCCAATTAATTTATTCTTCCTTACCAAGCTGGCAAGTTCTCTCCTCCCCAAAACATAAAATGACTCCCAGTGATAGCATCCCACTGGCTCTCTGGCCATCTCTTGAGTAGCTAGGCTAGGAGCTCGACCTTTAAAATATTGCAGTAAAAACAAGCACACAATCCTGCCAGCAAGTCCTTCCCTCTCAGTCTCAGGCCACTGAGCTAACAGCCCTTTCTATGAGCTGCTTCATCTCCAGGGATATCCCCCTACTCCTGCCCTTTCTGTTTATTTTATCCCTGCACAGCCAGAAAGTGAGCAAACATCCCTCTCAGCCATCACACAGAGCAGAGACAGTAGCATCACATGAATAATCACCGTGTTCCTGTATTTCAGTCTGCACACGTACCAGCACTGCAGTCTCGACCATGGAGCACTGCACCAACCCTGCTGAGCTCAGAGGAGCACAGCTCCCATGCACGTTCCTTCAGGTTTTTCACCATTCTCATTGCGTAAGCATCACAGTGAAGCAACACCACAGACCCCTCACTCACATGCCTTTTCCTTCTGCCAGTTTTGAAATACGATGAACTCTTTCTCCTAAATTCTTTATTTCACTGCCATTCCAGAGTCCAAAAGTGCTTTCTGAGGCCTTCCACTTGGCCATCTCTGACAGACAGAAAAATAGGGCTGGTCCAAGGACACATAACCCATAGCAGGTTGTTCTCTTAGCAAGGGCAGTCACATCTTCATTCCTAGCAACAAGGAAATAGGGAAGAGAACTGGCCCTATTCCGTCTAAAGACACTCATCTGGACCCATCATGCATTAGGGGTGGTCAGCAGGGAGAAGGAGATGATTGTCCCCCCCCTACTCGGCTCTTGTGAGGCCCCATCTGCAGCACTGCATCCAGGCCTGGGATGCACAGCACAGGAAGGATGTGGAGCTCCTGGAGCAGGTCTAAAGGAGGGCCACCAGGATGATCAGAGGGCTGGAGCACCTCTCCTGTGAGGAAAGGTTGAGGGAACTGGGCTTGTTTAGCTTGGAGAAGAGAAGGCTCCAGGGAGACCTCATTGCAGCCTTCCAATACTTAAAGGGAGCATATAAACAGGAAGGGGAATGGCTGTTTACATGGGTGGATAGTGATAAGACAAGGGGGAATGGTTTTAAACTGAGACAGGGAAGGTTTACGTTAGATATTAGGAGGAAGTTTTCACACAGAGGGTGGTGACACACTGGAACAGGTTGCCCAAGGAGGCTGTGGATGCCCCATCCCTGGAGGCATTCAAGGCCAGGCTGGATGTGGCTCTGGGCAGCCTGGTCTGGTGGTTGGCGACCCTGCACATAGCAGGGGGGTTGAAACTAGATGATCATTGTGGTCCTTTTCAACCCAGGTCATTCTGTGATTCTATGTACATGCAGGATAAATAGTGCTGTCTGCTCAGGAGAACCTTTATTTTCAACATGAACTGCTGCTGGCTTCTGTCTGCATCAGCATGGGGCTACTATCGTGCTGGTCAAACCCTCACTAAAACACTTCCCCTTTGAACAAGTCTGAGACACCTGAGACAAAATGAACTGCCCTCAGCTCCAGACATATTGTTTCTGTACCTCTAAAACCACTCTGAGAATATAAATTGAGAGAAAAGAGCTTGACCTAAATATCTATGTTTCTTGTACAGATTAACTGCTTTGTCTGCAGAGAGCAGACTGTTGTCTGCAGGATTAAAGAGTGACTAGACAGGGCTCTGAGCACCTGACGGAGCTGCAGGTGTCCCCGTTCATGGCAAGGGAGTTGGACTAGATGGCTTTTAAGGGTCCCTTCTAACCTAAATGCTTCTATGGTTCTATGACTGCCTCATAGGTTCTTCTGAAGTCCACATCTCCCTAAGTCCTCATTTGGCTTCACCATTTCCTGTCACACAATAGCTCTCTTGGAAGAACGAAACTGGAATGTGTTTGCTAAGACAGCCATTTCTGCGTGAATTTCATTACCTTGTCAGTTGTACTCAATACACTTGGAAAAAAATAATACAGAGATTGTGTAAGGTAGAACTTTTGGAGGGAGTCAAATGCCATTGCCTCCTGCCATGCGGGCCATCAGGACAGATCTGTGGGGGTCCATGGAAGAGCCTTCAGCTGGGGGAATCTCTACTGCCTCAGGCCGCTTTCATGAGAAAAAGGAATGAAAAAAATGACTGAGTAGGTATTCTGACAGCTGAAGCATCAGTTGCCATGGGAAGAGTACTTGGGATTTTTCTGTGTCAGCTTTTTATTTCCATGTTTGATAAACAAGGAATTCACTCAAAATGAAAGTTAAAAGCTTCTGTATTAAGTTTCTTACACAAGGAAGTAGCATTTTGTCCACACAGAACTATTCACTGAAAACAAAACTCAGAAACTCCATTAAAATTGTGTTGGAAATTGTGTGCACAAAAATGAAGATCTTGATGAACTTCCTGAAAAAGAAGAAAGAGAGGTAGGCAAAGTAACACATCTGAGACTTCCACTGTTCAGTAAAGACCTGAGTGTTCTCTCAGAATGACCATTTGGAAGCTAAAAGAGATTTTGATGATTTGACAGAGGACTGACATAAATCTATCAATAATTCTTACATCATATGTAAAGTTATTGGATCAATTCCAAAGCAGGGAAATTGCCCTTCCCACTGCATTCTCCTCTGTGCTGAATTCCTTCAGCCATGAGGAGCTGCATGAAAGTTTACCTCCTGCTTCCTCTGCCAAGGCCTTGTCCTTCAGGACAAGGGGAAATGGTTTTAAGTTGAGGGAAGGAAGATTTAGGTTGGATGTCAGGGGGAAGTTCTTTACGGAGTGGTGAGGTGCTGGAACAGGCTGCCCAGAGAGGCTGTGGATGCCCCGTCCCTGGAGGTGTTCAAGGCCAGATTGGATGGGGCCCTGGGCAGCCTGGTCTAGTATTAAATGGAGAGGTTGGTGACCCTGCATGTGGCAGGGGTTTGGAGATTCATGATCCTTGAGGCTCCCTTCCAACCCTGGCCATTCTGTGTGATTCTGTGTGATACACTGTCAGAGGAGAGATTGAGGTCCCCATGGAGCACAGAATGCTCTGCTAAGCCTCAACCTATGCTGAAGTTGAGCACTTCCAGTGAAACCTGGCCTCTCTGAGGTCCAGGGGAGCTTTTTCACTGGCAGCGTTGCACCAGGACAGTTCAAGTGACCTCTTGGAAGTTAAGAGAAGCTGGGATCAGCTGGGTCTGACAAAGGAGCAGATGAGGTGGCCTAGGGGTCTTCGGAACTGGGGACAGTGACCACCAGCACAGACTGCCACCTCTGGTCGCAACATGCGAGGTTTGCTGGCACAGGGCAGGAATCTCCACCTGCTGGATGCGCCTTGAGGATGCTGTGCCCTGGAGGAGGACTGCCGCAGGAGATGGACAGGTCATACCCAAGTGGAGCTCTGCCTTCCTCTTGTTTGTTAGACTGTAAATGAACAACCATTTAAACACATTTGTTATTTAAATAAGGCCTAAACTGGATCATAGTTATCATGAAAGCCACTGAACTGTGAAACTTGTAACATTTAAATCCAACCATCAACCCTAAAGAGTTTCAGCTCTTTTCACTTCTAGGAGAAAGAGGGGTGAGCGAGTACTGCAGAGGGCATCAGCAGTGGCATTAGTTCTGTTCTGTAATAAGCTCCTCAGTAAACCTCTGCAATGCATTTTGTTAACATCTACCTGCTGTCCTCCTGCGCCATTTTCTCCTTCATTATTTCTATGCTCTCTGAGCACCTAAAGAGTCCGTCTGGTTTTAATCAAAGAATATTTCATAAAGTTTCCAAGTCTTGGAGAATATCAGAATCATTTCAACTTTTCTAATGCTTCTGCAGCCAAGACCACAGCTCACAACCCTCACAGGCAAGCAGAATCCTGTTCTCCACGCAGCACTGCACTAGGAACTTCAGGAAAACCACCTGTGGTAAGGAATTACACACAGCAAATTTAACTTATCAGAGATCCCAAGCCAGCCATCCCCATGACAGAATCCTAGAATCATTAAGGTTGGAAGAGACTACTAAGATCATCAAGTCCAACCATCAACCCATCCCCACCATGCCCACTACATCCCTCAGTGCTACATCTCCATGTTTCTTGACATCTTCCTACGTCCTCTTGAATGAACAGAATCCATGGTGACCTGAAATGGCAATCAGCCCAGTTCGGTCAGTCAGTGCACAGACACCCAGCTGTGGCTGTCCCTCAGTCTGGGAGCCAGGCTAGCAGTCAGCAGGTGCACTGCTGTGCCCAGTCACCAGCAACTGAAGCCTGCAGGGTGCAAGGGTCTGAGCTCAGCCCGCTGTGGCTCTGCTGAGACACATACCAAGTTGTGACACCCTATGAAGACCCATGCTCCTGCCAGAGGAGGTCTTCACTTTCCAGAAGCACATCTTGCCTGATGACACCAGGACCTTCACACACCACTCCTACACAGAAGCTGACCACACAGGTTATCAAGGAGCAAGGAAGGTTCCTCCTGCATAGACTCACCAGTCAATCTGCGAACACATCGGTCCAACGCTTACAGCCATGTGATGTGTGCTGAATATATGCAAACAAACTCCCAGACATTCCCAGGAGGGCTCATCTGCCTCAGATGTGCTTCTGCCTCCGTGTGGCTCAAACAGAAGAAATCAGTGTAAGGGACAAGCCCAGGCAATGCCTCAATAAACAATTAGACCAAGAGTCTCCCTTTCCTTAATTTAACTGATGCCCCAACCACTCCTGGTGCAATACCTGAGAAACAGTCAATCACAGGAGTCAGTCACAGACTTTTAGGCAATGATTTGGCTCTGCAGCCAAACTGCTTTACGTGCCATTCATTTCCTCCTGTCTGCCCTAAGCTTGGTACTATAGTTTTACGTTTCCAGGTTGCAATGATCAGCTCAGAACTCCACCCCCATTAGCTGATAATGTGCACAGAGACCACTACAGCTCCATTGGCACAAAATGGTGTAACAGAATGGAGAACCAGGCCCTTGGTCTTTAAAAGCTCAATCCTGGTCCTGCTGACTTCTGCAGCCAGTATTTTACCCACTGAATCTTTTTCCCTGTAGCTCACTCCCTGCTGAGTGTTTATCTATCTGAGTTTGGCCATTATTTTGTTAACACATGCACACAGTGTTCATTACTGTTAACAAACAATCTTTTATTCTGATATTTTAGAAGAGCTAATAGCTACAGTCTGCATCAAAAATACTTCCACAAAAAAGAAAGGCAATAGAGGAAGTACCGTGGTCTAAAGCTTTTCTAGAACCACACACCAATTTCCCTGATCATAGTAATTCTTTAGAATCCTCACACAGTCCAAGGATCTGCATGCTGCTTCCAGTTCCCCTTCACGGAACACGTGGTAATAGCGGTGGAAAACAGGGCTGAGTTCTTGCGACTCCTTACAGCCCGCTGGAAATGACACTTCATCAACACTTGTCCCTTTCTTTTTGATGCCACCTTTCAAGTGCCAGGGAACCAGCATATCCTGAGAGTGAAAGGAGGTCCGGTTGGTGTGAACAGGCAGCGTGGAGTCCACTACTTGCTTTGCAGCACAGCCTTTGTCCTCTGAGTCATCAAGGAGTCGGTCAGAACATGCTGATCCTCGGCAGCTGCTATCAGGCTTTTGACCATCAAGAAGTCTCTGGGACATGCCAGTATTGCTTGCCTCCTCCTTGTCTTTGCTGCCATGCTTTTCCTTAAGATATTTAGACTTCTGGTTCTTGTATTCTTGCTCCATTGCCCAGACATAAATGAGTGCCATTCCACCAGGCTTTAGAAGCCGGGCTAGTTCACGGATAGCTGCCAGCCTTCTTTCCTATAAAGAAAAAGCAGAAGTGGGAAGCTGGTATACAGATAAACAGAAAAGACAGGAGAACAGAACTGGCAGTATATCCCCAACATATAATAAAGGTCAGAGAAATTTTTTCCGCTAGACAATATTCATTTCTGCCTACCATGTATGAGCACACAATGCCATACCCTAGATGATCATTGTGGTTTTTTTCAACCCAGGCCATTCTATGATTCTATGAAATAACTCATAATATAGGACACTATGCACAAAGTAAGCTGTTTTCCTGAACACAGTTCTCTTGCCTTTTGAAAACAGTGCTGTGCTGACCAGCTTTTCTTGGACGTTTCCACCCAGTTGGAAATGACGGTCTCATCAATAACGATGATTGAGATCTTCAACTCTTTGAAAGGGTTGATAACAGCAAGACAAGGGGAAATGGTTTTAAGTTGAGGGAGGGAAGATTTAGGTTGGATGTCAGAGGAAAGTTCTTTACTATGAGAGTGTTGAGGTGCTGGAACAGGCTGCCCAGAGAGGCTGTGGATGCCCCGCCCCTGGAGGTGTTCAAGGCCAGATTGGATGGGGCCCTGGGCAGCCCGGTCTAATATTAAATGTGGAGGTTGGTGGCCCTGCATGTGGCAGGGGGGTTGGAGATTCATGATCCTTGTGGTCCCTTCCAACCCAAGCCATTCTATGATTCTACAATGATCTAAAATTCTAGATTTAAATATGTTCGCAGTTAAAGGAGTTAAATTCACAGCTTCAACACAGGTCCTCTAATTACCCCAATGAGGACACGTCAGCCTTCTCCAAAATAAGTCTGCTTCCTACTTTTTATACTGCATTTGGAAACATTCACTTCATTTCTGTAAGATGACACTATGGTATTATGGTTTCATGGTCTAGAAGCTTGTTACAGCTGCACAGCTCCTGCCTGAACCTTAGACAGCACAGAGATACAGGGAGCAAATGAGCAGTGTCCTCATTCTCTTCAGAATGAATCCACTGAACTAAAACCATGAGATCTGTTCAATATCTGAGCCTGGAAATAACACATCTCCTGAATCCCAGAGCAAAGCCCACTTTCTCTGGAGGCACTAATTGTAGGCAGAACAAAAGGAAACACAAACACCTAGAAGATGAAAGTGCCAGAAGGAGTAAATGTACCTGAGGGGGAGAAGGAGAATGTGAAGGGAACGTCTCAGAAGCAGTGGCAGTCCAATAGCTTAGTTCTGCTCTGACAACTGCTTAATACCAAATGCACACCTGTGATCTTCACTTCATATTGTTCTGTTTTGTTTCCGTGATCCCAATCTACTGAATTGTTTTGCTGCTTTTTTTTTTTTGTTTTGTTTTAAATATTAGTAGCTCTTCAGAGCAATGCAAGAGCACAGCGCAGCACAGAGATGGGCGACTTACTGCTGTTGAGAAATGGTGGATGACAGCAATAGAGATGCAGGCATCACAAGAACCACTCCGGATTGGCACTGATAGGGCATCACAGACAAAAGCCTGGAAATCTTTTTCTCCACAAATATCCACAAGGTTTTTGCTGCGATCACAGCCGATCTGTAACAGAAAGTGTTCCATTAAGCTTTTCGTAAGAAGGATAATCACAAGGCTGAAAAATGATTTTCACTTGATGTTTCCAGTAATAGAGTCATCACAGTCTCCTACCAAACACATTCTAGTTCAGAACAAAACCAAGAGCAAGCACAAAAAATAGCCTTAAGTAAGAGAAATATATGAGTCCCAGATATCAACAAGAAGAAGAAAAAAATGTTTACTTAAAAGTGAAAGATAGCAGATTGGCTGCTTGCTCATCACAGCAGCTCAGTTTTGAACCAAGATAAGACAGAACAGCTCTCAGCATTTTTCAAAGCTGGCTCCGATGGTATCTTGAGACCAGAAAATAACAAGCAAAGAGATGACTAAACCCAGCCCCGGTATTTTCAGTTCCTTTCAGCTGCCACCAATAACACAAATACATCTTAAGCAGACAAATAGTGAACTAAAAAATGCTGAATCTACAAGTATAAATGCCAAAGTGGTGACTCTGAAGTACGTCACACAGCTCCACTAATCGCACACGTTTCGTCTTTTCAGTCTAGGTAAGGAAGTGCTTAGGTACAGTCCTTTTCAACCTCAGCACCAAAATGCACAGAAGGTTAAGCTTTAATATTCAGCACAATACAATTTTCCAGGTTCCTGTACAGCCTAAATGAAATGATCTCCAGAAATCATTTTGAAACTCTTCATCAAAAGTTCCTTTTCTCCTTTACCCAGTATCCAAGTCAAAGACAGTAGGAAAAAGCATCTAGAAAAAAGGGTGTTTTACACACTCGCAAAGAAAAGTACATTCAAACTGATTAAGACCCTTCTATAAGGATAAATGGAGTGATGCATACACCACCCTCTTTTTTATGTCTGCCAAGCACACACAATATTCAAACCAAAATCCTGTTATAAAGTCATACATCAAACTCAGCCTGCATGAGAACATTAAATTTATTTTTGTTTTCAATGATCAGCAACAAACAGATAACCAAGAACAGAGTCAGATTCCTAAGTAATTATTGCTGACAGTGTTTATCTTATTTCACACAGAAAGAATACAAGCCATCCCCAATGCAAGAAGCATAGCAGACTGCTCTAATTCATCAGCTCAGCAGAGATGACAGTATTGCCAAAATTAAAATCTCTTTTGGAGCAATTGATAAAAATAAACATATTTTCCATTACATCTCCCAATTATGTTAGTTAAAATTCTTTTAGCTTTCCATCTACCATCATAGCTTTGAAGAAAGCCAGGATTCTGTTCCAGTCAGATTCCCTGAAAGCTTCCACGTGAGCTTCCTTGTAGAGACTTTCAGAGACTTTAGACCCTAACTTTTGGTCCAATGAAATTGTTCTGAAAATGCCAAACTGAGAACCCAGGATAACTTTCCACAAAACCAGCTCTACATGTATGTACATACTGTTCTGACAATTAGCTCTAAGCAGACCTGAAAAGATCAATCCCCGTAGCACCTTCTTCTCATTTATTTCTTGGCCTCTTCTTAGGATTTACTGAAGCAGAGAGTGAATAAAAGAGGGGAATCTTGTTTACTTGGAAGCAAACACAAATCCCATCGTTTCACACTGGATACAAACTGAAGTGTCTTTAAATTACTCTCATCATGGAATGAATTTAGCTGACAACCTGCATGCTGGAGATTCCACGCCTCATTACCAGTGCCCTCCACTACTTCTGCAATTGAGACATTAGAATGCAGTATTTATTAAAAGTCAAAGGATCTAACTTGATGCTGGCTGAAAGAGGAGGAAGAAGAGTACTTGCAACTTCCATAAGCTTTCCCAGAAATAATTGCTTGGGCCTTACACTTCTGTAGCAAAAAACAGGTTGGACAGTGAAATTTAATCCTCCCCTCCAAAAATGACCTTGAAAAGGACTGCACTGTATGTTAATGAAATTCAGTGAACTGCGAATAAGAACAAAGGCACAACTGCTAGAATGTGAATTCCTCATTTGCATCTAAATTATATCAAATAATTACGAAGCCAGGCTTATTTGTAATGTCATACTTGAAGTGAATCTACATCCAAAGCAAAAAGATTCCATTTTGCAAGGAAAATTGAGGCCTTGAAATGGATGGATGTGAATGCACAGCTGCTCTGAGACAGGTGCATGAGGCACACCTTTATGTTGGTTTTGATATAAACACTGTAATAGGTGCTGCATATATATGCATAAAGGCTGAACGTGGGGAGTCATCCCAAATCTGCCTGGTGCTGGAGCTAAGCAAATTTAGCATCCTTACTGGAATTATCTTTGCATGATATTTTAAGAGAATTATAATCACTGCATTTCCACATTTTGTAGCTTACAAGAAACACACATTCATTCAAAACCAGTTATCTACTGGTTTCAGCCTCTGAGAAAACAATAAGCTGGCAGCAAGCAGCTAATTTCAGTGGTGCAGTGCCAGCTTACAGGTGGAAACCAAGACCATCTATGATTTTTATGAACATATAAAGCATATTTCAGAACAAGATTGATGTCTCCTAAGAATACATTTCCAGCAAAAGACAGAAACCTCAAACTCAACTTCTCCCAATTCTGTTACCTGATTTCTAATTCTAAAGCGTGAGTGAAGCTTTGATGCGATGATGCTGCATTTACAGAAAACAGTTCAAAGAAATGTTTTTAAATGTTTTACTTTTTCTCTCTCCAATCAAACGTAGTCAAACCATTAAAAAATCTCAAAATATAACTATAATGCTCTAATTTTCACCAGTTCATATTGCTGATGTTGATGCTTAGCATAGCATGATTTCTCTTCTAGAACAGCATAGAAAGGTAGAGGAATTAGCTTAGTGTCCAAGAGGATGAAGAGGATCTTAACCTAGAACACTCCTTGGTGAGTTGAGCTTTATACATTTTTAAGGTTTCATATTTCTTCTTATTTCTTGAGTCCTCTCTATATTACCTATTCACTGAGTTTTCCAAATCCAACTCATTGCTTCAGCCACCCAATTTCTTTTATCTCACACAGCACAGCTGACTGTTCAGCTGAATCCACTTTTAGCCAGTCCACCTCTCAGCAAGCTGCTTTGAATCTTTTAGCATCTCCCCAGAAGAAGGGATTTCAGGCACTAATTTTCATTATATCTGGATAAACACTACCTGCATCCAACTCTTGTTTTTAAGCCAGGAAATGTGTATCAGAAAACCTTCAGATAAATGAAAGAAGTATCAAAAAAAAACTAAGATGAAAGGGGAAAGGAAAGAGAGAAATAAAAGTAAAACTTGTGATTTGTATGAATTTCCAGGAGTTCTGCATTGGGTTCCCTGGAATGAGATAACACAAGCAGAGATCCCATCCTGATCTTCAGCTACCCAGCTGACTTCGCCTATGCCATTTCATCCACGAGTAGTTGAACTAAATTTTATAAATCTACTTAATGCAGTGGTGGATGGATCTGATCATTAGGGGAAAAGAGCACCAGACAAATAGCACGCTTTGTAAAATGGTACTGCAAATCTTGCAGGCTTAAATAAAGATAGGTAAAGACAGGTCAGTGTTGCCCACCATTATATATTTTCTATGTTATCTCATTATTACTAAACTCCATCTGGCTGAATTAGCTCATTTAAGTATCTGTAAACCTGACCGATGCAGCACATTACAAAGTGATGAAAAAAGTACATCTAATTCTGAAATCCAACCACCAAATGGAATGATATGGCTCCCTAGAGAATCACTGCAGCTATAATTAATGGCGTCAGAGCCTCAAGGAACCCAATTACATTCCAGCACACATGCACACACGAAGAAAAAAAGATACCAGCACAGACACTGCAAGACAAATCTCCCTGCTCCAGTTGGTCTGCCTGGCCTTTAGTACTCTTTTCACGTAGCGTTTTCCTTCTCCATCCCATACAGTCAGGGTGCCTTCCGAGTTCTCTTCAGACCCAGATCTCCCACCATTTTAACAATTCCTACTCACTGAGAAAAAGGGGTAGGAAAGGCTCCTCTGCCTCACCCTTCAATTGCTAAAATATCCTGTGATCTGACTCCAGGTATACCTTTGCCAGCTGGTTTTATCCCTCCTGTTTTTACTTACTGCTAAGAGCATTAGGAACCTGCTCTCAAGCAACATGGATCCAGTATATCCATTTTTGCAATATTAATGCAGATCTTCACCATTCCTCCTCCCCAAACCCTGACAAAATACAGTTCCAGCTGATCTCAGTTCAGGGCAGTAATGCAGAGAAGAAAAAAAAAAAAGGATATGAATGTCTGTATTAAAACAAACCATTAGGGCTCCTGTATTGCCATCATTTTTCTTCCTAGCATAACTATTCTGGTGAGTAGAGTCACTTCTTTAAACACAAAGAAAAATATTTACCCAGTGTTTTTTTCAGTTGTTACTAGACTTCTTACCAGTTTATCCATTCAATTAGAAGCGGAAACCAGAAAACTGAAACGTCCTTCTGACTGAACTGAAATGTTCAATGTCCTTCAGTCACACCTTAGCCCCACACAGGGATGGATGCTCCTATAGGGATTTACACATCATGCACATCTGCCCAGACACTGGAAACTGTAAAGAGAGAGCTACAGCTCATAAAAATGGATAAGATACACTGCAATGATGTCAACAGGCTCTGGAATAAAACCCTTGTGGTACCTGTGTATGGGAAAGGCTGAAATATTGCATTCTATAGCATAAAAGCTCTGTTTATAGATATGGATGTTGAGCTTGATAACACTGAAATATAAACTGTCAAAGTGATTCCTCCAAATGAAGTTGGATGGGGAGGGGATTGCATAAAAAACTCAACCAAACAAACAACCTTACAGACATTTCTCTTCTGCATTCTTTTCAACAATAAAAGAAAAGCTGGAAGTGACAGAGAAAGAAAAGTGATCTCAGACAACTGGTCTCAGATTCCTTCTCCAGTCTTTCCCTACCTCCATCAGACACAGATTCTATCTCTCTTGGACATTCTTAACCTGAATTTCTCTTTGTCACAAAGTTGCTATCCTTTGACTATGTCACAATAATGCAGCATTACAGAACTGTCATTTTCATTGAACGTAGCTGGACTCACCACATCTCATCTAAAGAACTTGAAGTAAAAATGACAGTAAGGTGCACAGTTATTTTTGGACACAGCTTATAGCATAAGAAGGTACCTTAACTTTGACCCACCATTACAGCTATACCTCGAATGCTGTCTATAAATGCAGACTAACCTCTGCAGCACATTACTTGCCCTCAGGTCCCTCTACCTAGTGTTCAGTATTCTGACTACTTCTGAGCAAATGCTATCCTTAGCTCCATCAGAAGAGGGGTGGCCAGCAGGAACAGGGAGGCAATCGTCCCCCTCTACTCTGCTCTTGTGAGGCCCCATCTGGAGTACTGTGTCCAGGCCTGGAGCCCCCATTACAAGGACAGAGAGCTGTTGGAGAGGGTCCAGAGAGCCACAAACATGACCTGGAGCACCTCCCCAATGAAGACAGGCTGAGGGAGCTGGGCTTGTTCAGCCTGGAGAAAAGAAGGCTTTGCGATGACCTCATTGCAGCCTTTCAGTACCTAAAGGAAGCCTACAAACAGGAGGGAATCATCTCTTTGAAAGGGTTGATAACTGCAGGACAAGGGGAAATGGTTTTAAGTTGAGGGAAGGAAGATTTAGGTTGGATGTCAGGGGGAAGTTCTTTACTATGAGAATGATGAAGTGCTGGAACAGCTGCCCAGAGAGGTTGTGGATGCCCCGTCCCTGGAGGTGTTCAAGGCCAGATTGGATGGGGCCCTGGGCAGCCTGGTGTAGTATTAAATGTGGAGGTAGGTGGCCCTGCATGTGGCAGGGAGGTTGGAGATTCATGATCCTTCCAACCCTGGCCATCCTGTGATTCTGTGAAAAGCCTACCACTGACATACAATATATACAACAGCAATTTACCAAATTAATTCTAGGACTGAATGACCTACATGAGGAAAAGTTTTTTCTTCTCTAGTTAAGTTTACTGATTTTTCTTGTAGCCAGGAGTGAAAGACTGAAACATATTGAACATTAACAATTATTTTCAGCCTACAGCAGTCAGGCACAAACATGTCTGCTTATAAATCAGTTGATTTTTTCCTAGCTTATAAGAGAGTAATGGAAATTAATGTCCTACATATACAGACAGGGCTGTAAATAACAACTTATGTTTTATAGCCATATAAAAATAGCAGGACAGAAACTTCTGTTTCTCTGTTGTAACATACAAACAAGTCTGACTTTTATTATTAATAATGAATGCTTTGACTAACGAGATACATCAGACTTGAAAAACTCTAAGTGCTTCATAGAACAAACACAAAAGAATCAGACAATTCTGGAACAGAGGAGAGCATAACACACACCTCTCAAATATTTATTTTGGGTAAAAAGAATAAAAAGTTTGATGTTGCAAAAAAGTCTTTGAAATATTTGCAATAAGAAAACAAAATATTTTACTTTGTATTTGTATGTCCTTTATGTCCCCATAATAGGAAGGGAGAGAAGTAAAAGAGGGCTGAGTCACAGATTGTGAGACAGGTATGGTGATGATAACACATGAACAGTGTCATCAGGACTTAAGAAAAGCAAGGAAAAGCAGTAAGAAAGGTTCAAAATCTGAGCTGAAGTAGAGATTCCAGCAGGAATTTTGTTGGCATATTTATGTGGCCTATGCACAGATTCAGGTGGGAAAGCCAGACATTATTGTTCACAAATAAGCCATGCCATCAGGCCAAGTGGAACCGAAGAGGATGTGTACAAAGAAGCCCTGTCCATAGTGATTTCAGCAACCCAGACATTTCCCACCCACCAGCCAGATCACACACCTGTTGGAAAAATTCAAACTGTCCTACTTTCCCTTTTAATAATCTTACTCTACAACACCAGCAAAAAAGGCAAAAGGATCCATTACAATTATTCAATCCACTGTACCCATTACTCCTTTTTTTATTAATATTGTCTGACTTGCAAAGCAAAAATGGCTTTGAGAAAAAGGTTACTACACAAAGCAAATGAATGTGGAAGCCTAACGTAATTGGTAATTGATCTTCAATCAGGCAACAGCTTCCTGCCCTTGGCACTTTTCCCACAACTGAAGCTCCAACTTGCCACAACCGCAAGACACAATAAAAACTGGTAGTGATGAAAACAAATGACAGTAGCTACTACTTACCATGTACAAATCCCTGTTGATGCCTAGGTATTTCCCATTACCACAACCAACATCAGCAACTATTGACCCTTCTGGCAGCGACCTGAGAAACTCAACAACCCGGGGCCACGGGCTGTGCCTGGTACTACTGAAGTGTGTGGCAATCTCTTCATACACCTTGTGTACATATTCCTGCTCCAGTTCTGAGGCCTCCAAATCATTGTGTGGAAATGATGGTTCCGCTTGTCTTTGCTGTCCTTTCTGGCTGTCACAGACAGATAGGTAAACTAGATGCAGCAACAGTCACACAGACAAGAAAAAAATGTTCACAAAGTCATTCTATACTGAATAAACATTTTAAGTAAAAGAAAACAAGAAGTAAAATATTGAAATGCAACAAATGCTTCATTCGCTCCTTCATCTTTCAAAAACTGCAACATGGACCAAACTGCAGATGTATTTGATGATTTTATAACAATGAATCTGACCAAGTGGTCAGATAGAGGCTGTCTGTAAGTGATCAAGACAAGTCTGTTCTCAGGACGCAAATGGATTTCAGTTCCACACAACTATTGAGCCATCCACCAACTATCATCTGCACTTAAGGCTCTATCCTAAGGCTCTATCACTGCAGATAAGCATGGCTCTGTTATTGCAGATTTGATTGCTTCTCCTTCCCTCACATACTTATTTTCACAAAACTATAGTTGTCCTCCAATGAAAAATAACCAGAATTGATAAGAACCTAACAAATAGTAGTTACTTCTATTATAGTTGATTATTCCAGGTGCCAGTAAAATCCAGGATTCTAGATTAATTGCCTGACTCTGGTGTTACACAAATGTCTTGCTACCCTGAGAAACTCCAGCAGCCATGTGGATGCAACCAATTCAAGCCATACAGTACAGCTAACCATGAACTACTTACGAATAGCTACTAGGACTGCCAAAACTAATAGGGCAAACTACTTTGTTAAAAAAATGTTTACATATTGATGATACAGAAATAACAATTTTGACTGGAAAAGCACCTCAAGACACTTACTGCAATTGCAAGAGCTTCTCCTCACTTTCCTAAATGTAAATGATGTCCTTGTTTCCCTTCGTTTCAATGTTAAATCTCTAACATCAGCAGTAATTGTTCCAACTTTCTGTCCAAGTTCAGATGCTTGAATGACATCATATTTTCTGGGTGTAATCCTAAAACAAAGTAACATAAAATCAAAGATTGATTCAATTTGTATTAGAAAAAAAAACAACCATTCATCTTTATAAGACAGCAATTCTTAAACACCGACAAGTGTGATTACAACACACTATTTAATGTACTACTGCTTTTGTTTCCAGCTTATTATGTTTTAAAGGAGAAAAGAGGTACTGACACATAAACTAATGATGCTAATTAACGTGTTATTTAACTGAAAGGAATAACATTTTCTTTCCCTTCCTTTCTTTCCCTCAGTAAGCGTGATTATTTTATTAGGACTTAATCTGAAATATACTTCTTAAAGATGAAATACATTACTAAAAATGGTGGCTACAGATTTAAAAGAAGAGTATTGACTAGCTCTAAACTTGCAGATTGAAGTTTCTTGTTACAAACAAGCCTCTTCAATGAACTCTGCTTTACAGCAGAATTGCTTTTCTATTTATTGACTAGAGAAGATGCAAAGTCTGGAGCACATCAGAGATCTGCAAAAATGCTCATGGAGTAGCAAGATGTAGGCTTTTTTTTCTTGACCAAAAACTAGCAATCAAGCAAAGTGGGAACTGAGTTTTTTCAGCTACTTCTGGATTTGCCACAGACCCTAATGGAAAACAGAACAACTTTTATAAGGATAAACCTCAAAATGAAACTATCTTTTTTGTGAGTGACAAAAATTTCTAATAATTTTGTGAAGAGATTTACATTACAAAAAGGTACCTAGCATTCCAAATAACTTTGGAGCGGATCTCTCCCAAAGTTGACAAGAAGAAAATGTGAAAATAAAATGGCAAAGTCAATACAAGAGAAGAGGTACAGCTGCACCCACATGTGGTTTCCCATCACTTGCACATAGGACAAAGTAGACACTCTTGGAACAAAATAGAAACTCTTCAGGGAAATAGTTTAGCACTTCAAAGCTGTTACTGTCACACTGAAACATTTCCTGAACTCAGTTCTCAAGGAGACTAATGCAGAAATTTCCTCAAGGAAAAGAAAAAAAAGCCATCTCTGAGGAATAGTCGCCTCAGTGAAGCCTCTTTGGAGCTGCTGGCTTCAAAGTACTTGATTCCCAGCAGGACAAACTCTCAATATAAAAGTGACTTCTATATTGGTTAGCTGAGTTTAATCTGTAAAGAAAGATTCTATGATTCTAACCCTCATAGGTTGAGTTAAAAGGGAGGGGAAAAAAGTCTCTTACATCTTTTAATAAAGCAGAGCCATCAGTCACAATCCTTATTCATAGTGGAACTTTTCTGCAGGTTACACAAAACTGCTGACCAGTGCCTGTACTTAACCAAGCAAAAGAATTATCTGAATGATGAGAAAGCAGCCAGTATTTTTTATTTGTTATCTGTTATTTGTCATCCCTTTTGTCAGCGAAGTTGGTCTTTAATCCAATCATAGAGAAAAACTGTGGGACCCTCCTGTTTGAAGGTCATAAAGCAGCACATTGACTGTCTGTGTAGTTCTTGCACAAATCAGACAGAGCAGCTTCAGGTATAGAAATCACCTAGAGGCAGCTATGGGAAGAATGGGATCTAATGAAGAACTGCCCTGTCCAGTTAATGAAACCATGATGAAATAATCAGTTAATGACCATCAAGATTCTACTGAAGCTGAACTTCAAGCCCAAAGTTTGTAGATTTTTTACTGACTTTACTGTTTACACAAACTCATAGTTGTACTTGCAGCAATAAGATGTGCATACTAGGAGCTAATATTTTAAGACACAGCCTTTTTCCAGGTTCCTTTCAACCTACATGATTCTCCTTTTGACCATGCTACAAGAAAGTTCAGCCTTTTATCTGGTTATTCTAGATTCTATCTTATTCTAAGAGTAAGATTCTCAATGTCAGAAATAAAATACTATCATTTTTGTTGGACAGAGTTGTTTTATTGTAACAGCATCAGGAACAATGTTTTTCCACCCAAAAATAAAACTCATCATTAAAAATGTAGTTTTACTTTCACCTATGAAACATAAAAAGCACATATCTTCTGGTCTACTTGATAATTTCTTAACCTTATGTTTCTTTCAGATACACATTAACAGAAATAATAGAATGAAAATGCTTTTCATGAACACTTTTTTAATAGGATTAGAATGAAGTCCCTATTTCTTTTGGCATCCAAATGTATACAATGGAAGTATTTCCAGAATTATTCCAAAAATGAACCTTTTGCTCTTTAATTTGACATCTGAGGAATAGATAAAAGACATCACAAATGATCTTAAAACCATTCTGATGCAAGTGAAGTAACTATGCTTTCTTGCTGGTTGATCAATCTTACTGATGTCAATGGCACATTTCATTAATATCAAGACAAGCTTGCTCTTTACTGGCAAGCTGTTCAATCCTACTGTTATCTCTGTTCTCCTTAGTTTCAGAAGATGTCCATTTACCACTAAGGTACAACGGTGAAGATGTGATCTGAGAAATACCTGATGTTGCAACTACAGGTACTTAAGAGATAAAGAATATAATTGGAACAAGGAAGACAAATAAGTATTTCCTACTCTGAAATACTGAGATCCCAATCCTAATTTACCTTAGTTGAGTATGTTGACCAACTACTGCTTCTAAAAACATTCAGCATACAGAAAAGCTATTTTTAGGAGAAGCAAACAAGGAGAGGGGATGGGAATACATGGTAGGAAGACTTGAGATATTCATTACAAACATAGCTTGTGTCCTTGGTTTTCAAAACACAATCATCATTGAAGGTAAAAGTGAATTAAGCACTGATCTCAGTCTAGTTCTTAATAGGCAGGTATACCACCCCAAACCAAATGGGCTGGCAATCACTGCAAGTGGAATGTGTGCATTATCTGTCCCACTCCCACAGGTTTGGCTGCCTGGGTGCAGGGCCAACTTGGGAAGAGCAGAGCTAGCGGTCCTGGAGAAAGCTCTTGTGAAACAAGCCAGAAATCTCAATGAGGGTGTCCCTCCATCCCCCAGGAGCTGGTTTTAAGTGGAGGCTGTCCTGCTGCGCCATGCCCAACCCACAGCCCAGATGTGTCACAGCTGTCTGTGCATGGCCATAGCCCTGCTGATCCAGGCCTGAAGCCCTGGCTGATGTCCCCACGTGGCCTCAGCCTGCCCTACACCATGGCCAATGGGACACACAGCTGGAGTCAACCTGATTGCTCCCCTGCACCACTCCAGGCCAGCAAAGTCACTTATGTGAAAACTGAACACTGTTCTCAGAGTTGTAAATAACCATTCCAGAAAAGGCAGACACTATCTGACAGAATTGAGTAAGAAGCTTATAATGCTGAGATCCATCTCTAGTCTTGTACACTAAAAAACAAAGGACTTTCCTGCCCTGAATGATGCACATCAGGAATAACAGCTGCTTTTTACAATTATTTAATTTAATGAGCAACTACACAGGTGATGTAAGCGCTCTACAAAAATGAACAATGTACAGGCCAATGGGGAGTTCACATTCACTCTTCTTCACTACACAAAATAACCAGTAAAATTAGAAGGCAGAAAAATTGTCAATAAAAGGATTTGGTCTTTTATTTACAAAATGTAATTAGTCTCTCCAATTTACTGCTGTAATCAGTGATTCTTTGGGTTGAACAAAGGAAGAACCATTTACTGGGGACATTTCTGTGCAATAGGAGGGTTTACATATTCTTCTGAATTAAACTACTGTCACTCAAACCTTGCCAAGTTTTTAGCCTTTTTGACGTTAGCACTCCTATTGTAAGTACTTCCCTGTGGTGCATGATTCAGAAATCTTATTTAAACTGTACAATAAGCAAAGCCCCAAGACACGTTTCAAGAAATCTCTTTTCCAGGATCCCAAACCTGTTCACTACAAAGCAGCCTTATCAGTAGTTGACGTGGTCCTAAAGCAACAGGAAGAAGCCCAGGAAAAACTCACTCCCCTTTGTGACACTAAAGCCTTCTATGCATTAGAAGTCACTCTCCTAAGCCAACCCTTCTTCAAAGACTTTGGCATTTGTGATTGTATGGGAACTGTTGAGGCAGGGCCTGAGCCACTGATTAATCACCTGAGGAAAGGACTGGATCAGCTGTGGGAGCACAGGTGAAAGTGATTCAACTGTGACCAGAAGGAGTCAGGCTTCACCCCTCCTACATCCCATTTAAGGACTGAGTGCCACCAGGGAAGAATTTCTTTCTGGAGATCTCTTCTTTGTGGAGTCTTTCATTGCAAGCCTGAATCTTCAAATACAGATGAGCATTCCTTCCCTGTTTGTTACTTTTCATTTCTCTACAATATTCTTTCCAATTCTAATACCACAATATTTTTTCCAACTGTAACAGTGATACAACAGGAAAAACTGTGGGCTGAAAAGAGGAAAAGAGAAAAAAGTAATTCCAGTACAATAATTCCTTGCCACCATAGAGGACTTTCACAGTGTGAAAAGTGAAAAGGACTTCTGAGTGAAACAACTTGTGAGAGCTGCAGCTCAAAGACTGACAACTAGTTTCCTAAAATCCCAATTTTCCATTGTAATCTGAGTAACATCTGGACAAGGAGGAGATTTGTCTAATTATCTCAAAACCTCATTGATTTCTTTCAGAATAATTTTCGATACAGAATACTGTTGACAAAGCAAATAAACAACATACATTCTCCTTCATTATGAGTAGACAGGGGCCCTTACACATACCCATGTGTCCACAAGTATCTGGATTCACCAGTCATCACCAATAAGCTGCATCGAGGCAGCATAACTGCAACTGTGTGGCCATCAGGGTGTTTGAAATCCATCACAATCTAAAAAGAAAAAAAACACCAGCCACCAATGAGCATGGCTTACAGAGCATCACATATTAGCTAAGCATTCTCAAGTCCTACCTCTGTGTATTAATCAAGATATTGCCACAGAACAGCTGTGTATTTCCTAGGAAAGCAAAAGCCTTTGTCTCTATACTGCATTCTTAATATCTCTTCCTTTCAGCAGTGTTTTCAGAAATCTGAGACAACCACAAAACCTGCATATATAAACACATTCATATATATATATATATATATATACACATTTATATTTAATATTATAAATAATTATAATACCAAAATAGTTCATTTTGCTTTTGCAGCAATAGCTTCCTTCACAAGAACATGGGAGCACTGTTAAATCTATGTACCTATGATATAGGAAGGAATGATTCTCACTCAACTAAATGCAACTACATAAAGAGGGATCATTTGCTATAACTCAAGCACCTCCTAGTTAGACAGCTGGACTAAGGCATTCAACTACTGCCTTTTTGTGAGGTTTACACAGAGAGAGACAAGCATCTCCACAGGGTGATTCATCCTAGTCTATAATGCAGTTAACTGATGTGGGATGAAATGACTATCCGTCACAGCAGTGAGCTGAGACAATTAACTCAGAGTAGATGCAAAACGTTTAGATAACCAGTATTAGGAGAGAGAAATCATTTCTAACTCACCCAGATTCTTAGAGTTTTGCAGCACAAGGAGTCTCCCAAGATCCTGACTAACACACCAACTACCAGAGCAGCCTTTTCTCATTTGCCACCTGGCCTCTAACCACAGCAATATACTGAGGTAATGCTTTCAGCTTCAATTCAGTTTCACAGCCCAGATGGCAGTGCTACATTCTGCTTGGGCTACAAATGTTATCCTTTTACATCTCCCAAATGAGAGAAATTCTTTCTGTAGAAAATAAGGATCAGGTTCTTTCAGCAAGCCAAATGGCTTAAGGAAGACATAGCAAGAAAAAAAAAAAAAAAGAAAGAAAGGTGATCAAAAACATTCAAGTTGTGGTTCCAGCTACAATGGAAAACGAGCACCATGGAAGTGGCAGCACCTGATTGCAACCTACTTGCTAAGCACATGATTTAAAAGCAGACTTACTACCCTTACCAGATCGAAACAAATTATGCAGTTCTGCTTCTGCATACAGATGCATTTAACACAGAAAACAATGGTGCAGTGATCATTCATTCAGCACAAAAACAAACAAAAAAACAACAAAACCCACCAGACAGATAGAACGAGTGAGACCTTTTGCAGGATTTACTATTTATTGCTGTGTGCAGGAGCACACAGGAGGAAAATACAATGGCATTTATGTTTTTAGGAAAAAAAATGCTGTAGTACCATCTACCTGACAGCAAGAGCTTTTACTCTTGTTGATCTACCTAAATTTAAGGAAGGAAATGAACATGACAAACAACTGGACACAAAAGGGAAGAGCTATAGGGGGGAACAGGAGTACAGCCTACCTATGAACTCCATCCAATTAACGATTATGAAACACTTAAATGGCTACATAAATAAATGAACTGCAGCCATTTCATAATGTACTCTTTTTTTTTGTACATTGCAACTTCTTCCAGGTATCCTCAAAGAAGCATAAGGTGAGGAAGGAGAAAAAACAGTGACTCCGCAGATTTGATGGAGAACCCATGCCATAAAACATGGCTAAACACAAGCCTCTATGAGAAGCAGCAGCTGTCTGGCAAGCTAAAGAAACCAGAGGATGACTAAACTAAAATAGCAAGTAAAGGAAAAGTAAGAAAAGAAAAGAAAAGAATTGATGAGCAAAGTGGCTGGATTAAATTCATGAAATGATATCTCAGGCTCTTCTGCCTCTCTGTCCCGCTGCTGTTGAGAGACAGGTGTGAGGGGTAAGAGACTGAGATCTTCAGAAATGGGGAAGAACAAACTGAAAAATGGGACTGTCCAAATTCCTTCCTGGAGGCCCTCTGTTCCTCTTTCTAGGTCAGCAGCAGCAACAAAGCCTACTTCTTGCAGATAACATTCAGGAACAATACTTTTCTCCAGGAGTTGATTCCCAGCTCTGTGAGGTCTCCTACACTTTCAGTTCTATTCTCTCTCCAGTGTATGGGAGGAAACCTTGGCCTCCTTCATATCTCCACATGCCAAGTTGGAGAGTCTGCTTAAAGAAGCAGCAAATATTTCTTCCAACTCTGTGCTGCTCATTTCCTCCAATTTCTCTTCCCCTACCAGCTGTAAAGCTCCCACATTGCCTCTGCAGACTATTGTGCATCCAAACCAGCAGAGACTCAGAGTGTCCTGTAACAGAGAACACATTGGAAATGACAGGCAAAAACAATAGTCCCTTGCAACTGAATTTTCAGGCAAAAAGAAGTGGCAGAAAAACAGATAGTAAAAGAAGACAGTGTATGCTCTTGGTTCAATATTGACTATGATAAGCCAACAAGAAATAGATGAAATGAATTTCTGTTAGTGCAGAATTTAAGGCTGAAAAACAGGAAGTTACACACTGTACACAGTATCTGGCAAGCCCAGTCCTCATCAGCAGTCAGTTCTGTCCCTGCTCCTTACTTTTCTGCAGAAGAAAAGTTTGTGCTCTTATCTCACACTGTGTGGCTGCTACCCTTCTAAACAAATGCCACCTTTGTAACAAGTAGTGATGATTTGGGACAAAATATAAATAAAGGATTAATTTACTTGCAAATGAGTAATGACATTAAGTAATTAGTAGTAATGGGAAGAATCAAAAATCCAAATTCAAAACTGACTTTTGCTTATGAAGCAGACAGAGATCCTTAGCTGGACAATACTAAGATTTTGCTGTTTCCTTCTAACAACAAATTAGACACTGCAGTTCAGACAAATAATTAAATTTAAGGAACATACTGTGAACATTTGAATAAAATTAATGTGATTTCTACATTAATGTTTCATTTCATTATTTAGAATACCTGCACCCAAAGGCTAAAAAATGAGCAAAAGTACTTCTTTATTTTTTTGTCCATAGTACAGTAGAGAACATTTAACCCAGACGGGTATTCGAAAAACTCTGTTCTTATCTCTGAAAAGCCTGTTACTGACTGAAGTAGATAATATTCCCTCACTCCTATATCTTTATCCTGGCAGAACATTCTAAATTGTCACTGTCACACACACATAAAAGATTAACGCATTCAGTCCACTTTTTAATTTACTAAGGATTCACAATCAATAAAGCAACTGCCACTGCTGAATCAATCCGCTTCATGACAGCTCTGCTCCACAGTTATTTCCAATTACTTTTTTTCTTTTCTCAAAACTTATTGTCTCTTTTTCTCTTTGGTGGCAGAGTCAATAAAGATCAAATTTCCAGCTAGCTCACAGTGCATCACCCAAGATTCAAAAATAAAAATAGTTGATGCTTTGATCTCACACAACTTTTACCTTTTTTCTTTGTACTGTTAAAGAAGTCTCCCTCTCTCCATATATATATCAAACACTTGAAACAAAAACACACAGCAAATAATACCTACTCATAGATTTAAATATCTTGTCATGATGCCCAGTGACAAGGGAGCATGCGACACAGTAAACATCTTTCAAGAGGGGCTGAATGACAAAGCAAAGCAACATCCACATCAGAAACATTGCTTCTCTGGCATAAAATATAGCTAAATGCAAAAAAAAAAAAAAAAAAAAAAAAAAAAAGGAAAAGAATTCAGCATAAAAATGTAAGAAAAGAAAATGTGCTTTTCTTGACTCCTATGGGAATGAGAAGTCTGCGCTGCCTTTCATTGCAGAAGTACTGTACTTCAGGGAAGTGCAGGAGGGAGGTGAATGACTGTTCTATCAAATAAGTAATGATCCAAAGGCACAATGGAAATAATGCAATGGGGCTGTAAGGACAATGTCAATAAGGATTTCACTGCTCCAGTGTGGAACAGTAGTACCGTTTTTCTAAGCTGCATCGTTAATGCAGTTTATATTTGATGATAAAAGACTGCCTTAGAAGAAACATACTCTAAAACTCAAAAAAGTAGACTTGAAACAAGTACAATCTGAAAGTCTCTAACATTATTTACTCATTTTTCAGAGAGAAAAGTCACATTAACAGCCTACACAGCAGTTACTCCACTTGTAAAGCAGCTGAGGAATGCCTACTGCAGAGTCAGCTGTGTGGCTTTAAGTCCACACACACAGACTGAACAACAGTGGGGCTCTACATGAAGATGAGGGGCTGCTGGCCACCCTGGAACTGAGGCAATCAATATTACCCTTCAGAGTGCCTTTCATTGCAAAAACTATATTAGCATCCAAAATTTGGAACTTAGGAATACTCTGAACATTTAGGGGAAGAGAGTGAATTAACTTTCCCAAACAGTCCATGTCTTAGGGTATTTATCTTAGTAACCTGATATTTATATCCTACATCATGGTCTCTACTCATACTCTAGAAAACGAGTACAATAACAATGACTACGATGAAATACTCCAGTACTGCTTATCTCAAAAGTCTCCAACAATGCACCAGGCCTCATCCATCAGATCTGAGCCAAAGCATACCATCTTGCATTAAGCTTGCTTATCTATTTAGACACTACAGTGATCTTATTTAGACATTCAATAGATAATTTTTTTCTTAAAAAAATGTATTCAATCTTCTATCCTTGTAATGCATTACTATCTTGCTATATATTGTGTTAAGTATAAGTACTTAAAATTATCTTTTAAACAGGAAAGAGACCAACTTTCATGGTCTGATAGTGGTAGGACAAAGGGGAACATTTTAAACTAGAGTAGGGAAGATTTAAATAAGATAGTAGGAGAAAATTCTTTATTCAGAGGGCAGTGAGACCCTGGCACAGTTGGCCAGAGAGCTGTGGATGCCCCTTCCTGGAGGTGCTCAAGGTCAGGTTGGATGGGGCCCTGGGTTGTCTGATCTGGTGGATGGCAATCAGCCGATGGCAGGTGATTGGAACTGGGTGGATTTTAAGGTGAATCCCTTCCAATTCAAGCCACTCTATGGC